CCCCAGCTTTCACCAGTCTGTCTTTCTGTTCTAAACCTTTTTCTGCAGTAACTGCTAGGCAGTTACTTCTGGATGGGTAGAAGAAGGAAGGAAGGAAGGAAGGAAGGAAGGAAGGAAGGAAGGAAGGAAGGAAGGAAGGAAGGAAGGAAGGAAGGAAGGAAGGAAGGAAGAAAGAAAGAAAGGCAGAAAGAAAGAAAGAAAGAAAGAAAGAAAGAAAGAAAGAAAGAAAGAAAGAAAAAAAGAAAGAAAGAAAGAAAGAAAGAAAGAAAGAAAGAAAGAAAGAAAGAAAGAAAAAGAAAGAAAGAAAGAAAGAAAGAAAAAGAAAGAAAGAAAGAAAGAAAGAAAAAGAAAGAAAGAAAGAAAGAAAGAAAAAGAAAGAAAGAAAGAAAGAAAGAAAAAGAAAGAAAGAAAGAAAGAAAGAAAAAGAAAGAAAGAAAGAAAGAAAGAAAAAGAAAGAAAGAAAGAAAGAAAGAAAAAGAAAGAAAGAAAGAAAGAAAGAAAAAGAAAGAAAGAAAGAAAGAAAGAAAAAGAAAGAAAGAAAGAAAGAAAGAAAAAGAAAGAAAGAAAGAAAGAAAGAAAAAGAAAGAAAGAAAGAAAGAAAGAAAGAAAGAAAGAAAGAAAGGAAGGAAGGAAGGAAGGCAACGTTAAAGAGCAACGAAAGAGCAACGTTAAGCAAAGACCCACCCTTCCCTTCTCAGGAAAGGATGATAAATACTGATCATGCCTCTTCCAGGAAATTCTGGACCAAAGCCATCTCAGATGTATCACTAGAAACCAATAGGTCAGGAGATACGTTATACTCAAGGTGGCATGGTGGATGAGAGAAAAGAGATTAATCTGCTGGGTGCAAAGAATTTAGCATAGAAAAACAAACAAACAAAAAAACACAAAAAAACCCCAACAAATAAAAAATCCAAACAACAAACCACCCAAACCAGTAAGCAGAAGTTTCTACTCTAAGTTCTTATCCAAAAAGCCTAGTAGTTCCAAGTCAACTAATGGCATTGCACTGACTCCTTAGCACTGAAACTTCTACAGCATTGTTCAAATTCAGCAATAGCTCCTACTTACATACGAGGTTACAAGTGGATATTTCCAGTTCTCCTCTTAGATGACAAACATTGGTCTAAGCAGACTGAAGCAATCAGCTGAAACAACTTCTACCTTTATTAAGTATTCCACCTGATGTGCTTTAAAAAGTCAGCTAGTACTCCGTTTAGTGAGACTCCTCCGAAAACAGCCACCAGGTTAAGCAAAAGAATATTTGTCTTGTGGTCCTCACAGTTCAAGGGAAATAAACCCAGAAAGCCCAGGTTGTTCAGTCTGAGCAATATCAAGACACTGTAGGGCTTTAACAGAGAAGTAAAAGTTAAATTCCTGAGAAAGTTAATATCAAACCTGAAGTTTCTATTGACTGTAGATCAGGAATATAGAAACTGTTTTTCTTCTAACACACTTCAAGTCCACAACCTACTCTGAATTAGCTTTCAAATCTTTATTTTCTAACCTCCACCCAGAAAGGAATAGGCAAAGTTATTTTTGGGTTCATACTGTATTTGTTGTGTATGTTTGCAGTTGGTTTGGTTATGAGACAAGGAAGAGCTGTAAGCTGCAGCCATAGTCACATATTTTCTAATACTAAAATAAGCTTTCTCAAGTGACTCCCAAGATAGGGCAACAGTTAAAATTGATATTATTATCTCAGATACAGTTGCCTCCCTATAGTCCCTTCAAGGCTTTAGAGGACAATTTACAGTGGTATTTTTTGCAGTCTTGGGAACTGTGAGGAGACTTGCTTCATTTGTATTTAACAAGGAAACAATTATTTGAAACAAACACAATTGATTCATAGAAACTTATGACATCTTCAAATTATCCTCATAGAAACTAATTAGTAAACTCTAATTACAGTTTAAAATAGGCTCAGGAGGGGTACATTTTTTTAAAAAGTAGCAATGGAGAAAAAATACAACCTCATAGCAGATAGGTTATTGGGAGTGAGATCCTTTCCAATGGAGAACAAATTGGCTTCCAATTCCCCTCTGCAAATTAGGAGCCAATATAAGAGATCACTTATGGTGTGTTTCCACTTTTATGCAAGACTTGCTTTTAGCTAGCCTTATGCATTATTACACTTCATGGATCACTGCTTTAAACAAATTATTATATATAAGTACTCTGGTCATAGTCAAAGTTTGACTGCAGATGAGTATACAGAGTATTATGACACATGTAAAAGCTTATGTCACTCTTGAAGATCTAGTACAAAAGGTAAGCAGCCTCAGACTGCTTTTAGAATCATAGAATGGCCAAGGTTGGAAAGGACACTATAGATTACCAGATTCCAACCTCCCTGCTGTGAGCAGGGACACTTCACACTAGACCAGGCTGCACAAAGCCTCACCCAGCTTGGCCTAGAACACCTCCAGAGATGGGGCTTCCACAATCTCCCTCATGGTGAAGAATTTCTTTCTAATATTCAAGTTAAATGTCCTCTCTTTCAGTTTAAAGCCATTACTCCTTGTCCTGTCACTGCCCTCTCTGGTGAAAAGTCCCTCCTCTGTTTTCCTGTAGGCCCCTTCTGGTACTGGAAGGCCATGATGATGTCTCCCCAGAGCCTTCTCTTCTTCAGGCTGAATAGCCCCAACTCCCGCAGCCTGTTTGGTTTTTTCTGTCTTTGGAACCAAGGTGCTCCAGGCCTTTGATCATCTCGGTGGCCCTTCTCTGGACCCTCTCCAACAGGTCTATATCTTTCCTGTGCTGAGAATCCCAGACCTGTACACAGTATTCCAGGTGGGGTCTCACCAGAGAAGAGTAGAGTGGCAGAATCACCTCCCTGGCCCTGCTGGCCACACTTCTTTTGATGCAGACCAGGGTGTGTTTGGCTCTCTGGACTCCAGCACACACTGGTGGCTCATGTTGAGCTTCTCATCTACTATCACCCCCAAGTCCTTCTCCACAGGGCTGCTCTCCAGCCATTCTTCCCCAGCCTGCATTTGTGCCTGGGGTTGTGCCAACCCAGGTGCAGGATCTTGCACTTGGCCTTGTTGTGAACTTCATGAGGTTGGCACTGGCCCACCTCTCCAGCCTGTCAAGGTTCCTCTGGATGGCATTTCTTCTCTCTAGTGTGTCAACTTGTCATCTACTCCACACAGCTTGGTATTGTCAGAAAAACTGATGAGGATACTTTTCTGTAATCCTTCCAGGACACCTGCCCTAGCTTCCACCCCTGTATGCTTCCTTCTGATGTTTGAGTTTTTCTAGGAGCTGCTTACTCATCCATGCTGGCCTCTTGGAGCTTCTACTTGACTTCCTCTTGGCTAGGATGCTTTGCTCTTGGGCCTGGAGAAGGTGATCCTTAAATACCAGCAAATTGTCACAGGCTAACTACTCTCCAGGATGTTATCCCATGAAGAGGCTGAAATCTCCTGACGTCAAGGGCAGTGAGTTTTCTGAGACCCCTTCTTGCTGCCCTAAGGAGACTTTGGGCATCTATTACTCATGGGCATCACAGTGCAAGAGATTGGCATGGGATGAATGGAACCTCATGAGTTTAAAGCCCTCTTCACCAGCTGGGCTAGACAATGGCTGAAGATGTTCTTCCCATTTTCTGACAGGTGGATCCCACCAGCCACCAGCAGAGCAGGCTTGTCAGAGCTGGTTCCATGATCCAGATAGCAAGCCAGATTTAGTATTGATTTCAATATTTCCTTACCATTTGAAAAGTCTACCCTTTTGTAACAGTTTCACCTGAGTAAAAGACATTTATTTGTATGAGGTCCAAGTACAATCAACGCATGAAAATAGATTGTGGAAACTTGTAGCGTTTAGCATCACATTGCCCAAGAAACATTCCAATATATCAAAGAACAACCTTTTAATGTACACCTTAAAGCTTGTTGGCAGGTGAAGTTAGAAAAGTGAAAATACTGTCAATGTTAGGTTACAGGATAGTCACAATATTGCTTACCAAAATGTTAGATATAAAGCAGTTCAGAACTCAGCTGTCTTCTCCCTTATGTAGGCTAATCTGACGTTCACAAGGTATAAAAAAACTGTTCTTTAAATCTCTAGTGGAGAACATGAAATCACCACTCTAAGCAAATATTGGGAAATAGTAATGCTTTAATAGCTCAAAAGTGCTGCCAGAATTAAGTATGTTGTATGCATGTTCATTTTATAGGTATTATAGATTTCATAATCATTAAAGGCTTCAATGTTACTTCAATATTAGACTCACATTTCCAGAGGAAATTCAAGGCTTCAGATTTTTTGATGGAATACGTTCTAGTGTCAAGCATCCAATTTTGTATAGAAATATTTATTAAAAGTATTTAGGAAAAGATTTAAAAGACTGGGTTGCTTAAGAGAATGGGTGTACATTATAGAAATCAACAGAATTTTAACAGGACTTGACTCTTCCTGTAATACACCATATGAATCAGAAAACTAAGAATTATTTCTGCAGTTTTCCAAAACACATCTTACGTATCAAGAACACTAAGGTGTACAACAGCAAAACAAAATCCAGTGCTTCATACTTACTCAAACATGTACAGCAAATTAACTCCTTGAGCTATATGTGAACAAATACAACCTAGTTTGTTCAACAGTGACTCATTTTCAGAGGAAAATATACTGTTGACTAGTTACTCACAACACATTACACACACACACATTTAGACCTTGAAATGACAATCAAATCATACAGTACATGTACTTCACATGTGTACATGTAGTTTAATTGCCTTCAGTTTGTGGATTTTTTTGATTTTTATTTTTTACAAACAGACATTTTAAAAAAATTACAAAAATACTAGTAATGGCTCACATTGCTACCATCTCAATACTTTTCTCTTTTTTGACCTTTTCTACCATCTTGGTAGTATCCCCAGTAGTTTTTTCAGTAACTACACACTGCTCAAGCTCCTTTTGCATAAGATCCATTGATAATACACTCTGTCTCAGTTTGCTGATATATTTCAAACCAATATTTACATTTACATCCGAAAGCTTCTGGTTCTGTGAAATGGTTGAAAAGGCTTTTTTAAGGCCCATAATATCGGTGGTTTCTGCTTATTTTTTTCTGGAAATAATACCGCTTCAGTTTCAGGGGTAGGAAATCGTACTCTGTACACTTCAGGGTATGTCTTCTGAAACTAGAAAAATACATCAGTTTAAATGAAGAATTCACTTCCAACTTGTAATACAAAAAACCCAAAACATTAAAGTTCAACCTCTACCTCTGAAACAGGAATATTTTTATTTCTCCAGTGGACTTCCGGTAACTGTATATAGGAAATTATATTTTCAAATATACTTGATTCATCGCAGTACTCGTATTCTAAATAACTAAAAACTTAGAAATCCCCAGGAGTACCAACTATTTTAAATATCAATATTTCTCTAGAGGACTACATATATAAGACCTGATTAAGCTGTTTAGGTAAAAAACTGTGGAGGAATATTTATTTACTTGCTTGAGCTGTTTCTTCTTATCTTTTACAGATATTTCTTTATTCATGGCAATTTCTTCTAATAAAGCTGCCAGTGGTTCTTGAGAGTCAGTTGCCCTTTGGTATTCAAATTCTTCTGTGCTGATTTGGTGACAAAGTGATGGAGGTGAAAAAGTTGAATCAGTATCAACTTCAGCATATTTTATCTGAAGAATGAAAAAACAACAGCAAAAAACTGGGAAAAACTGGATTAACAAAATCGACCACCTAAAGTCATTAAATAGAGAAGACACGGACTAAAGACCAAAATTCTACCTCCCATCTTCCTGCACTAATTGAATGAGCTCAAGTCAAAAAACATGACATAAAGGAAGCCTGTTTAACTCTTGGATGTTAAAAAGCTATTTTTTAGTAGAAATTAAAGAAGAACTAAATAAGCAGCTTTGAACAAAGCAGAATATGTTATCAGGAGACAGAAAAATGAGCTACTAAAAAGCTGAGCAAGTAAAGATTACCCTAAAAGAGAATCAGAACATGAATGGAAACACTTTTTAACCATTCACAGTTTTCCTCACTACCACATTTGTCCATTCCATAGAGAAGATAGAGCTTACCAACAGAAAAATATATGTAAAAGTTCTTTTCTTTAACTGTTAAGTTTCATTTAAATACATAGTTATGGTGGAATATCAGCAGTCTAAATCAATTATCTCTTCTTAAGCTAACAGAGACAGAAAAGACTTTAAGAACTCTTGTTCTTTGGATCAGAAAAGACAAATTTGATCTAGAAACACAGAGGCGTAGGAGGCTTTTTCCACTGAATACCTACTCGGACTCTCTGGAGTTGTACAACATGTTCCTCTACAGAAGATTTTAGGGCAGAAGGAACACTTAAGATCTCTTGATAATTGTCCATGAGAAAAAATACTAGTTTAGCAGCAAGCAGTTCATCCAAGTCTATTTCATCCTTTGAGCAGAGAATGCAACGGGAAAAGGCCTGAACCATCTAAGAAAAAAAACCAAACATCATTATTGTATATTTTTCTGTTGGGGCAGGGGGGGAGGGCCATGCGGGGAACCAGATTGCATTTTTAAAGTGATGTTTTAGAAGAAATTTAAAGAGCACAATACTTACTGTACTTCCAACACATCAATATTTTTAAAAAACCTATTGTATATAGTAACATTATCTGAGTAAACCAAATATGGCTCTTGCCTTATATGTAATTTAACACTAACTTTCGACCTAGAGTAGTTGAATTCCATTTTATTTGCAAGCTTTTGTCAAATAGCCACTTCATATATCTTTTTCCACTAAACAGGGCACAAATAATTCAGAGAAATAATACAAGTATAGAGGAAAACTTAATACCATTATTTTGAAATAGTAAAATCAAATTTCAGATCCAGCTCACTTCCTGTAGTCCCATACTCAAGCAGTCAGTTTCAAGAATTTTCTGTCTGTGCATCAGTCACTTTTAATGTTAAAAGCACAGAAGACAAGAGTTTCTGTTAAATACTGTGGACTACCCTGCTGAATTAAAACTTAGAAAAATGGACTGTAAGGGATTATCTTTGAAAAGCAACATTTACATCATAATACCTAATTAAAGATCATTTATGGTTAATTAAATTATAACCATAGCAGTCAATTATTTCAATCAAATACTATTCATAGTTAACTAAAAACTTAATTGCTGTGAAACAAATTCAATTTTTTATAGAGTGGCTCTACAGCTGAGTTTTCTGCTGCCCTGCTTGCAAAAGACTTGAAAATTAACTAAAAGAAATGTGTTCTTAGCCAGTCTGAATTGCTAAGAGTTATTTGTGCCTAGTAACTTTGTAATAACATGCTGCTGCAAACATCAATGATAACTATACAAGTAGCCCTATAGAAAAGGCATTCAGAAAAATTAGTGTTTTTTCTACATCTGTTTAAAATTACTTTCAGATATTTCGGTAGTTACGTGACAAAAAGAAGTAGTACCGAAATAAACTGGTAGGATGTGTTTTTAAATGGCTGAAAACAGGTTAATCAATCATTCAGCTACATATTTCTAATTATGACTGAAACAGGCAGTCTCTTTCTCTCACACTGTTTGCAGTGATAAAGAACACCTGAGCTCATCTACTGGATTTTTTTTCTCCTCTTTGGTGAAATCTGGGGTATTTTAACTTTGAAAGGTAAGGAAATGTCAATTTATGAGCAAATTCTTCATAGGCTCACAATTTACCAAGAAATCCCAATTTTTTCAAATCCAAAGTAGCTTTCCACATAGCTAGAATAGACAAACTGTTCTTCAAACAAGAAAACTTTTCTGTACACACTTCTGTAGAATTATTTATCTGTGCTACTTCAAAAGCTTTGTCTAGACCTTTTGTCTTGCACTATACATACCAAAGCTCTGGTCCTCACTGATTCAGAAAGAGGTGGCAAATCCTTGTTTAAGCTAATTCTTGCCATCATCCTAACCAACAGCTGTAGTCTTTTCCGATTTTCTGGTGGCAGCAGGAGACAAGATATCTGAAGAGCTTCTACAGCCTTGCTGTGTTTTTGCAGCAGTCCTGAATTATAGAAGATCGAGTGATTGGGCAAATTTTCTGAATTGCATATGTCCATAACATTTAACACAGCATTTCTAGAACTGTCTCCCCAAATTCCTTCCTAAACACAACTCAGATGTATGCACAGATACAGCAACCACATAAAAAAGAATTAAGCCTGGGTCAACAATCAGAATCTAAACAAAACACGTGTTTATGCATCAATGACAGCTATGACAATACTGATGTGTCCCTCACAGTTATAGAAGTTTAATCTATAATTAATTCTACCTACAAACTCTTGATAAATCACTGAATGTGAACATGGTGGAAGAATTTGAAGACTAGGTAGGTAGAGTAGAATCTGATAGTAATTTAAGTAAAGAGGTCTCATGACAAAAATATCACCTTTTGGGCTTCTAAGGCACAGTGGAAGAAGCATCTGCTACATATCTGTGTTAACAGCATTATCATCAGAACAAAACATAAGTCAGGAGCAAAGTATTTGCATGACTGAAGTGTAACAGCAATTTCTCTTCATCAAGGAAAACAGTAAAATTACAAGAGAAGAGTGGTAAAGCACTTTAGCTTTTAAACTTGTACAAATCACACCACTGCTGCCTCAAATGACTGAAAATATAATCTGATAACACTTTCTTTGCTATTTCCTGAGGTCCTCCACTCACCAGAAAGCCTATCCATGGAAGGAAGAAAGAAGTCGTATAATCACTGTGGAAAGGTTCTAATTCCCAGAAGGCAACAACATGAAAAGTCAAAGACTAAAATCTTTGTTTATAAATGTTTCCAGACTTAGATTTATTGCCACTTTAGCAAGCCGTATTCCATTAAAAAACCCACAGAAATGCAACTGCAGTCATTAATCTGCTTTTTCATATTTTGTAAATGTACAACTGGCTAAGCAATTATTACTTCACAGGCAGTATTCAGTGCTAGCATTGACACTTAATAATGGTACTGTATGTACATCCTCTGCTTTTACCTACAGCTTCCTAAATAGTCTGTATACTAGACTCATTGTTAAGACTTAATTACACTGTATACTAGACTCATTGTTAAGACTTAATTACACATTGAACAGAATTCAAAACTTTCTCCTTTCTCTTGCAGCTGAACCCAAGAAAATTGCTTCCTCCTCTTCTCCCCTATCCCCGAGAATCACAGATCAAATCTCAGAGGAGTCAGGGTGATCAGGGAACAACTTGCAACAGAAACTACAATTTGGGCATCTCTGCCTTATATTTGTCTTACTACTGGTTCTAAGCAGTTTTGAGTACAAAAAGGAAGGTTAGACTTCATCACAGATATGATGAAATGTATTCTCCCTTCACTGGCTAGATAGGGAGCATAATCTTGAATTGTAAACAACATGGAAGACACCTGGAAATCACATGGCCCAACCCCATCTCCTCAGTCCGAGAGCCTGCCTAATTCAGTTATTTCATATCGTCCCTTTAAGGAAAAATACAGCTTCTTAGCCATTCAAATGCCAGTGTTAGGTGTCTGGAGGAGGTTGTTTAGGCAAGACTTCTAGAGCAATGTGACATTTGCAGGCCTGCATGAACAGTACGTCAAAGTAAATTGTGTGAAAATTGTGTAAATTGTGTAAAAAGTAACTGTGAAGATGGAAAACAAACTAAGTAGTTCTTGAATGGCTGAATTCCTGTGATTTTCTCTGTAAATTTATTTTTCTTAGTTAGGAAGGATTCCGTATTAGCACCTCATTTTTTGTGTGGAGGAGAAAACATAATGGTTTCTTCTTAATCAGTGCACAATTTCATTTCTACATAAACACTGGCATGAATTCTTCCTTCTTATTTTTACATATGATAAATACTGCATGATAAAACTCTTAAAACAAAAGATGTGAAATACAATGGAAAAGCAAACAAACAATGAAAGGAGAGGAAGAAATTTTAGACATTATCAAGAACATCTGTTGTCTAAGAAAAAGTAGTAAAAAAAGAATATTCAGTTTGAAGCATGATTGTCAACTAATAAAGTATAAAAATACTGAATTCCACAAATGAAAGTGCTATTCTGAATTACTTTTTCATCTGGATAGTTTATTAAAAGAAATGTTGATCCCATTTAAATAAGCCCTGAAAAAAAAAAAAAAAGAGATGTTGTGAAGCATGGTTACTTTTCAACTCAGTCATGCTTTTCTGAAATGTAGCTGTAGAATGTAATAAAATACATTCACATTTACTGTCTTTCAGTGGGCCATCCATAGCTACAAGACAGGTGAATTTGATATATTGTGAATTGTGTAAAAGTTACAGTTAATAATTAAACTACTGTTTCTTTACAGCCCTAGATTAGTTCATGTCTATTCTATAAGGACTCCAATTTCTTTTGGATGTCGTATTGCCAGGGTTAAAAATAGTCCTTATATCTCTATTTTTAGTCTAGATTTCAGTCAAGCAATTTCTAAAAGCCTATGTCAGTTTTAAGAGGTATAGGCATTAGCATTTGTAAAAAAAAATAATAATCAGTTAAAATCCAGCTTTTAGGAGTGGCAGTGTCAAGCAATGAACAGAAGCCTTTAGAAATGATAAAGACAAGCAATAGAAAACTTTTGGACTAACATGATCACAATATTAGAAGACAGAACAGTAAAACAGCTTTGTGACATGAAAAAAATAAATATTAATCTGTTCTCTATGTAAAATGGATGGGAAAGGTACTAAAGAAATGAGCTGTGATACTATTTAGTATGGTAAATTAATTCCAGGAAGGTAATTAAAAATAATAGTTTTACATTATCCCAATCTACTTACCTAACACACACACAAAAACATCAAAAAAATTAAATGTAAGAAGAGGTTCTTTCATCTGGCCAAAGTAATCCACTATAGTTTTAAAGACATCTCTTTCAAATCCTGAGTATGTAGGCTGCTTCAAATCTGAGCAGCTGGGCCCTACAAATAAAAATAAAAAGCAGAAAATTCATTTGTAGCCTCTAACCAGATCACTGTTTTCTACCTCAGTCAATAAAAATGCAACTTCAAGTAGAAAAACAAAACAAAACTTAGGCTAATTCTTTAAAATAGAACTGAACTTGTATTGATCTATTGAATTAATGTACTTCCTATAGGTCTAGTGAAAACACAGAGAAAGACATTTATACTTAAATTTGTATGAATTTCATCAAAATAAGCTGCACTGTCAGAAGAACATATGCTGGCTAATTCCAGCCTTGTTTAAAGCAGTTATCAAAAATAATACTGAATGAGAATATAAAGGAGGTTTGGTGAAACACTAAAGGCACAGTCAGTTCAATTGATTTTTTATTTATTGTTTTTTGGGTGTTTTTTTTTCACCCTCTCCTGAGTTTACTTACAATTTGCTAGACATTTCATTGCTGATAATATCCAGTGAGGTAGGTCCTCTGCATATAGGAAAAACAGACAAATTAACCAGAGCAAAAAACCTGAGAAAAATGTTAAACCATAAGATAGAAGTGAAGCTGAAAATTCTTGAAGATGTTCCCTCTGTCTAGTAGGTTGACTGATTGCAAAGGCAGGTTAAAACTGTATGCAGGATCTAGCTTGAATTACATCTACACCTTAGTACCTCCAGTACTCAATATCAACCAATTACAGCTACTGCTCTTGCAACTCACTCAGCAAAATGGATCTCATTGCAAATCCTTACCCTACCCTGCAAAAATCTGCCAAACTGGGTCAAGCTACACTTTCATTAGCACTCCACAGTGAAGTGTTTACAATGCACTGTAGATGAAAAGCATTCATGCACTCAGTCTTGTCCTTTCTACAAGGAGGAAGTTAACATCTTGAGGTGCTCCAGTTGTCTTTAAAATGAACCTATATAAGCTTTGGAGGGGGTTTAATTCACAAACCAAATTTGTTAGGCTCCAATCTCATTTTTCACTACTCTATAAATTTTGTAGAAAACATGGCGGCAATACTATTGCAAACGATACATCATAGCAGCAAAGATGCTCTGCCTTTTTCCTGATGTGCAAAGCAGTTTTCAACTTGATACTAATTTCAAAACACATTGACAGAAAACTCAAAAATGAGAAATTTTACAGTCGTCTCAGTGTACATTTTTATTGTCTCTCAATTTTAATCCCCTCATGTAAACACTCCAGCTCAGGCAGTTAAGGGCTGGGCTGACAAAGCCAGCTTGAGCTGAATAATATCCCTATCTTTATAAATGAAAAGTTGCTGCTCTTTCACCTTCATATTTCAAGCCCTGCTAAAGCAGAAATGTGCTTGAGAGAGTAAGTATGGAACAAACACTAATTCTTACTATTGGAATGTAAGAAGGTAACAATGACATACTTCATTAAAAAATCTCATAGAGATGTGGTCATACATGTATAAAGATGTTACAAGTTAGTATAGACTAGAATCAACATTTTCTTACACTAGTAAGCTACAATACAAAAGTTAAGTGAAAACTTCTAAAATACTCACTTGATTTGTCTTCTAAGACGACAATGCCTTGCTTATTGACATTGTATGCATTTTGGACTATATGCTTTGAATTCACAAGCTTTGTGTCTAGTACTTCATTCAGGGAATTCAAACCCAAGACCTTTTGTAATCTGTAAAAATACATGAAAACATAGTTCGCACATCATCTAATCTAGAAAAGACAAACATTTTGTATTAGGATAGGTATCATTCTGAAAGAGCCCTCTCCATTTCAAAGAGTCATAGTTGGAAGGGACCCACAAGTACCATCAAGTCCAATACCCTGCATCTCACAGGACTACCTAAAACTAGACCATATGACCACAAGCATTGTCCAAATGCTCCTTAAACTCTGACAGGTTTGGTGCCATGACCACTTCCTTGGGGAGACTGTTCCAGTTAGCAGCCATCAAAGTACATTTTCCAGGCCAGTCTGAACTGCTCCTGAAGCAGCTTCATTCCTTTTCTACATGTCCTATTGCAGGTCACCAGAGAGAAGAGATTGGCACCTCTCCCTTCTCTGTCCCCCTTGAAGTTGTAGACAGCCATGAGGTCACCCATCAGCCTTCTCTTCTCCAAGCTGAATAAACCAAGTGACCTTAGCTGCTCCTCTCCTAAGTCTTGTTCTCAGGACTTTTCATCATCTTGGTCACCCTCATCTGGACACTTTCTAACAGTTTGATGTCCTTCTTACACTAAGGAACCCAAAACTGCATACAGTACTCAATGTAGGACTGCAACAGTGCAGTTCAGGTGGAGCAATCACCTCCCTCAACCAGCTGGCTAGGCTGTGCTTGATGCATCTCAGGACTCAGTTGACTCTTCTGGCTGCAAGGGCACAATATTGACTCATATTCAGCTTGCCATCAACCCATACCTCCAGATCTCTTCCTGTGGGGCTGCTCTCCAGCATCTCAACCCCAACTTGTATATGTAACCAGGGTTATGCCACTTCAGATGCAGAATCCAGCACCTGCTCTTCTTGAATTTCATGCAGATGGTGATTGCCCAGGTTGCTAGTATATACAGATCTTTTTGTAAAACCTCTCTACCCTCAAGGGAGTCCACAGCTCCTCCTAACCTATTATCAGCAAACTTACATAGTGTACATTTGATTCCTGTATCGAAATAATTTATAAAAGTATTAAAGATCACAGGCTCTAAAATCAAGCCCTGAGGAGCCCTAACTTGTGACTCGAGCCTGATGTAACTCTATTTACTTAAAACTTTGAGCTGGACCTGTCAGCCAATTGCTCACACAATGTATTATGCACTGGTTTAGCTGTGTCCTGGATATTCGGTCTGGAAAGATATTGTAAGAGACAGTACCAAATGCTTTGCTAAAATCCAAACTCACGACATCTACTGGTTTCTCTTGGTCAACCAGATAGGTGATCCTGTTATAAAAGGATATTTTGTTGGTTAAGCAGGACTTTCCCCTTGTGAACCCATGCTGGTTATGGCCAATGACTGTATTGTGCCTCAAGTGTTTATCAGTAAATCTCAGAATCATAGCACGGTTTGTGTTGTAAAGAACCTTAAAAATAATCTAGTTCCTTCCATGGGCAGGGACGCCTTCCACTAGACAAGATTGTTCAAATAACCATTTCCATAATCTTACCAAGCACTGAAGGGAGACTGATAGTCCTGCAGCTATCAGGTTTTTTTCCTTGTTACCCTTCTTGAAAATTGGGTGCAGATTTGTCAGTTTCTATTAAACTAAGACTTCTGCAGATTCCCAAGGTAGTTGAATAATGGTAGAGGGTGGTTCCATAATGACATCATCTAGCTTTTTCAGTGCCACGGGATTAATGCCATCGAACCCCATAGATTTATCCACATCCAGCTAGAGCTTCTAGTTCCAAACAAATTCAGGATTAGCTGGGAGTTTATCATCCCTCAAAGCAGTCTTCCAACATAGGGCTCTACAGATCCCAGGGCCCATCACTGGTGTTGAAAATGGAAGAGAAGGTATTAAATGTCTCTGTTTTTTCTACATGTTTATTTGTGAAGTGATGGATTTCATTGAGCAAGGGACCAATATTACCTCTGATTCTCCTTTTGGTAGTCATATTGCTTACAAAGCATTTTTTATGTCCTTCACACTCCTGGCCATCAAGCTTTGGGCACAAGAATTTTCTCCCTACAGTGGCAAACAGCGTGCATCTCTGTAGTCCTCCCATGATGACTGGTTTTGCTTCCAATGTTCATACACTTTCCTTTTCTGACCAAGTTCTAGAATAGCAGAATTCTACCCAGCCAAGGCAGCCTTCAGTCCTGCTTGTTTGACTTAATCAGTTTGGAACTGCCTGCCCCCAACCTCTCAATAGATGGCATGGAACCTTGTACCTTAAAAATGAAATTCCCAGAGAACCAGGCAGTTATTCCTGTCACAAATTATTTGTCATTCAGCTACTTCATAGTCACTGTGACCAAGACAGCCACCAGTCACCACTTCACTCACTACCTCCTCTCTGTTTACAAACAAAAAAATCTAGGAGGGTCACCTCTCCTAGTCAGCTCCCTTTGTACCTGCACCAAGACATCATCTTCAACATGCTTCAGAAATTTCCTGAAACCTTTTCATGTCCACTTTACCATATTCCCAGTTGATGCCTGGGAAGTTAACATCACCTATTAAGGACAAGGGCAGTTGATCTAGAGACATACCTTAACTTCTTGTAGAGTAATTGATTGGTGTAATTGTCCTGGCTTGGGTGGTCAATGGTAGAATACCACAACATCTGCTTCATTTGTTTTCCCCTTCATCCTTATCAAGAGGCTCTCAACTGTGTTGTCATCAGCTGTAAGCACTAGATAAATAATCCAACACCTCCCTTACGTACAGCATCACCACCTCACCTTGCTCATCCTGCCTAGCTGTCCTGAAGAGTCTATAGCCATCCGCCATAGCACCCCAGTCACAAGACTTGTCCCACCAGGTTCTACTTACTCCAAGCAGACATTCAAGGATGTTCTGGGACTGGGCCAAAGTTTCTACCTTTTCTTTCTTAATCCTCATGCCATGCAGATTAATATAAAGACATTTCAGAAGTGCCCCAGTGTACTCAGTACATTGTAGAGCAGATTGAAGTACCTCCAAATATTTGTCCCACAAATACTGGCATGTCACCCCCAGGCTGATCTCTAGCAAGCCTGGTTGTACCCCTTTCTCCCTTCAAATCTTGTTAAACCTTTTTCAATAAGCCCTGCTAATTCCTGTAAAAAGATCCTTTTCCCATATTGCAACAGGGGTACCCTGGGTGTTGCAAGTAGTGCCATGTATACGCATGTCATGTAGACCAACCTGGGATCAAAAAGTGCAAATTTCTGATGATAACAGTCTCAGAGTCAGGAATTGATCTGCTGAGTGTTCCTATTTCTTCCCTCATAATTCCCTGCAACTGGATGGGTACAGGATAACACTACTTGTGCTCCTGATCTCTAAACCTGTTGTCACAAGGCCCTGAAGTCTCTCTTGATTGCTCTTGGAGTTCTTATTGCAACTTCATCACTGCCTGCATGAAAAAAATCAGTAGTGGATAACAATCCAAGGGCCATTCCAAGGCATGAAGTTTTCTACTCCCAGCTTCCATTTGGGCCCCAGGGAGGCAAGTGACTAAGACACAAAGAAGTGTGTCTGGTCTGCATATTGGTCCTTCCGTTCCTCTCAGAGGAGAGTCTCCTATGAAAATCCCTGGTCTTTTTTTCTCCTTTATGAAAGTGGTTTTAATGCAGAATGTAAGTCAATTTAGCTTTGGTGACACCTCCAACCTAGATGAACCATCATCCTCATTATTGTTTTATTCCATTTGCAGAGCCTCATACCTATTATGCAAAGTCACCTAGGAAGGTGAAGTAGTCACAGATAAGATGCTCTTCCTATGCCAAACAGGAACTTATTGCTAGTCCCCACTATCCCTTAAATCACTGTGTTCAGTCAGGTGGAGAGTGGGTAGACAATCCTCTGTATCATGCACCATGTCTACCCACGGAAGGTAGGGTTGCAATTCCTGAAAGAGTCTCTTTCAGACTCCCTGATACTTCGGAACCGAGTCACTTCTTTGCAGACCTCTGTCACTATGCAGAGGAGTTCCTCCATCTAGACAGATCTCTACTTCAGGGAGATTTCCCTGCTTTAGAAAACTTGCCTGTGCTCCATGCTAGAATACTCCACTGCAGATTGTGCCAGCACCGGACATGCCAGCCTCAGCATCAAGTTTATTACATGGAAGTAATATGCCAGATTACATAAATGTAATCATTAGTAAGGCCTCAACTGCGCTGTAAAAATAGCTAATGTTTTGTGTTTGTTGTTGTTTTTTTCTTCTGCATAAATAATCTAAAGTAACAACTGTAACTTTGCATAGAATAATCCCTTTGGAAATAGTAAAGAATATATGAATCTCAAAGCTTTTAACGCTCAGTCAGCTCTTCTTTTTCTTATCTCATATGAGGTAGTGCACTTGTCTTTGAAAGTTTTCATGGTATTGTGCTTCTACAGAAGTGCTTCTATTTCAGAGCAACTAGAAAAAGAGAAAGACTGTGGAAAAAAGTATTAAACACCACCAAGCCCACACAACAAAAGGACCTGTATAATGCAGCATGAAAAAAAAAGTCAAAAGGTATTAAGCATAATACAGTTTATTCGCAAATGTTATTTGCTGAATCTGTAGGCTAAATAACAAGTGGTATAGCTAGTCTAGCCATGATGGCCTGGATGGCACTGATGAAAGGAGCACAGGTGAAAGTACAAGCATTACCAGAGAAGACTATTACCTACTACAGAGTTTTGCTTGAACAGCAAATGACTCATGAGTATACTCACCGGGCCAAAGTCATGGATTTCCATATCTCTTGTACATTTGTTTGCGTTACCTCTCTGCGGAACACAAGTTTGCATGCTGGGACTTCCCCTATAGCTATACTGTGTCTCTTGTACCACATCTCAGCATTCTGAAATCAGAAAAACACTCATTAAATGGTGTCTTTTCAAGTATTAATCAATATAATACACTTGTAGTACAGCACACTGCCTCTTACAAGTATTTTAAATATTCCTAAAATCCAGTAAAGTCTCCAGGATGCAAGTGTTTAGGTTTCACAGACATGCAGCACCTTTTCTCTGTTATGTAACTTTTCCAAAGCTGAAAAATTAAGATTAGTCATTAAAATTCAGGAGTCAGTGGCCTCTAGTCCTGTGTTCAGATCCTCTCCATTATTAAAGTCAGCTCAACTCACTTTTTTTTCAAATAACACTCTAAGATGAAACCTCTGCTTATGAAAAAACAACTATACACTTATTAGATGAGAGATCAAAGGCTTATATTCATCCTTGTTCAGCATATGCTGATCATAATTAATTATTAAGATCACTAGCAGGTTCTTTACATGAAGAAAGTAAAAGCAAATAGCTACAGCTGAAGACATCTCTCTTATCGATTCCACTTTTATAACAGAACAAAGTAAAACAAAGAAGGCAAGAGATTTCTATCCTCTATTCCTCCTTCACATCCAAGCTTGATATTTGAACACCAAAGTGTCAACGGGTGGACATAAAATACAGTTTGTGTTGACAGTATACTTTGTTCAAGGCAAAACACCTAATCCTTCTCAGTTCTTCATTTTACATCACAGAGTGGTGCTAGAGCACAGTAACAGCTTTCCTTGTGATGACAATCAAACCACAAAATTCACTCCAGGAATGTACTTAATTACTCCAAGCACTAATAATCCATAATTCCGTAACATTAGACTGGAGCTAGTTCAAAACAAATAGTACCTTGTGAAATTAGTGTCTAGTCTTCATCATCAGTGATGCACTACACAGGCCCATGCCCATTATTCCACACACAGCTCATAAGTGTTCTGACTGTTGCCGGAACAAGAAGTTGACACCACATTCAGCTACCTGTCTACTTCACTCTTTCATTGGAAGTTACACTTTTCTATAAAAAAACCAGCAGAAACAAGCTTTTTCCTTTGCATCAGTTTCTTCAACTTACAATGCCCTCTGTTAACCAAACCTGACAATGAAAGAGATTTTGAGCTATGCCAGACTGCAAGCTTTGCATCTGAGACAGATGTATAAAGACAGCCTTTTGCTAGCTTTTATCAAGCTAGAATGCTTGGATGGAAATTTTGAGCAGACATCTGGAGGCTGTAACATGTTGAAACTACAGCAGAACCTTGTTCTGTATCGAAAAAACTTTGTGCCAAAGACAAGGAAAAGAATAATCTTTTCCTTCTTCCCTCCTAATCTTCTACCTACTATTGAAACTCTAGTAACCATGCTTTTTCCTCTTCGTGTATCTGTTGTACATGAAAGGTGGACTCAAACTGCACATAAGTAATCGCATTACAAATAAGAAATAACCATTCATTCAGAATCTCTAGATTTCCAGCAAAATGATAGGAGCTACTTTTCCAAACAGACTATTGATCACACCAGGAAATCCAAGGCTAGTGCCCTTCACTGATGAGCATTAATAGGAAGGCTAAAATTATCAAGTCTACAATAAACACAGGAGGGAGAGTTTAGAATATAATAAATTCCATCAGGGTCGGTTATTGAGATGTCCAAGTGGAAAAAACTGATATAGTTTTTGGTTACTAATAAAAAAACCAGTTTTTTCCACAACTTTACAAGGCTGGATCAATCCACTTTAAATATGGGGCACCATGATTCTCAAAAAGGGCAACAATTAAACAAGAACCACTTCTACTTAACCACAATGTATTCCTTATAAAAAGGAAATTGAATCACTAACAACATCATCATAGCAGCTAGGAAGAGTGTAATACTGTATACCTTCTGCTACATGAGGTGTCTGAATACAAGGAACAGTGTAAGTGACAGTAAAGTAGCTATTTTTTCTTGTAGTATAAAAAATACTTCACTTGAATTAGAGCAAACTGGGATGCAAGCATACTGGCAAATATAGCTATGCTGAACTTAGGACACTCAGGAATTTATCACCTGCAGCTGAAAGGACACTCAAAGCCAACATCCTCAACAAAACATTATGAAAACCTTTACTTCACATAGGTTTAAAATAAAAATATTGTGCATTTAATTTTATAACCAACTATTCTGTGCCACAACAAAGAGATCATTAGTTCAGTTTTGGTTTACAAATACACTTATGTCTGGGGAAATTAATACCAGATATCTTACCATTGTGACTGATTTCGCTGGGATGTGTTCTTGGGAACTGCCAGCCTTCGGTTCATCCCAGCCTGGAAATTTAATGACTTCCTTTCCACATGGAGGTTTCTTTGGATACGGCTTCAGTGGTGAGGAAGGAGGAAATCTACAATTAGAGAATATTTTTAAAGCTTCTAAACACTACCCTACTCCATATTTACCAATGCAAAAACTGCATAGGCCTTTACAAGCAAAAATAGAACAAATGCCTTGGACATTTGCAGTGCTACTTAATTGCATGACAACTGGTGTTGAATGACATGGAAAACATCCTAAAGTGGCTTGCTTGGCCTCCTTCTGCTGCTTTAAACAGGTCAGGTCCTTTGTACCTCCTGTGACACAGCTTAGCCTTGAGCGACCATCTGATAACCCAGTATATCTCAATTAGCACCAGCTGCCTGTGCATAAAAAATTGACACACGTCTTCACTAGAAGACACCAATTCTGCTGAAAAAGCTGTGGGCAGATCTTCCCCATGTCAAGTGCACTGTTAGCATATATCTCCTAAAGCTGCATAATTATGTCACATGACTAATACTTGGATTTAATTAGCATGCATGCAAGTGTCCACACAAGCTTTTGTCCACATTACCATGTTCTTCTGAGTTTACACACTTTCTGTGCAAAGATCATATTCCTCCAGTTCTTTTCTGGAGTCTTTTTCCAGCTGTTTGTGCAGAAAACTCATTCACTTTTTAAGGCATTTCAAGAGGCACCTTGAAGAAATTAGCAGAAATAAACATCAAGGAAAAACTATTCCAGATCACACTCAGCTGAGTAACATCTCCAGCTTGCACAGAACTAGAAGTACTGCCTAAATGAGCACATACAAGGAAAGGAATGGCAGCATCTCAGGAAGTCAAATCTGTTTGACAGCAACTTACCAACTGATTGGCTCAGGTCAGATCTTGTTTATGGGTGCTTCTAGAGTTTAGATGTTGAGATTCCCGATGCTTCCAGAAATAGCCTCAGCCTCACTCACTCTTTTTAATCACAAGGTAGAAGACAGTTAAGTCTGTAATCATCTACCATGAGCTTGTATGCTGTTGGGGAATGTGAATTTATATCCTACTGTGAAGATGCTCATACTCAAGAAAACCTCAGGTTTGCCCTAAATTTTCACCCCATCATCTCAAGGAAGTTCCAAAATTTAATTAAATTACTTTTGTACTGCAGTTTTGTTAGACCAGTTTTGCCCCATGGCTTAAACATGTTCTGCTTTTGGCCACACACACTGATTCCATGTGGAATAACCCACAAAGCTCTGCAATAGAATCTCCACAGCATGGGAAGATATTCCTTCCTTCCAAGAAACCAAGAAAAGTAATAAGCACCTTGCATTAAGCCTACAAGACTTACTCTCTTTTAAAAATGACCTGGGTCATATTGGAGATGTTCAGCTGTTGCCTGTTCTCAACTATTTTTCAGCTATTTGTTATTTGTTAGAGTTTAACGTTAGAACATCTGCAGCTTTTTTTCCCTTTGCCTTTCAGTATTCCCAACAGTTATATTTTCCCCTCCAGTTCTTCACAACTTTTATCTTTATGTCATTTGCTGACCTGATTCTCAACCAACCAGTAAATTAATGTGTTCTTACAAGTAGAAAAAAGAGAAGCATTCCCTTTTCCAGGTAGCATTACAGCAGGACCTAAATAGAAATAAGTTTTTCAATGGCCAATGAAAAGCCCCTGATGTTATGATGTGCAAAATAACGTTACCTAAAATGAGCAACTGAGGAGCATTCCTGGGCTGACATGTCAAGATTGGCATGGTTTTACAGTCAGCAACACTAGTAGTTTTAGAAGTTTAGACAAGGAGGAAATGGAGATAGCTGTTCGTGTCCAGAGCAACAGATACAGAACAGGGTCAGCTAACTTGGTGTCAACAGTATAACAAGTACCACAACTGAATTCCTAAAAGTTTACTAGCAATGCAAGAGTACTCACACTTCCTTTTGTCCTGATTTGAGCCAGGATTAAGCCATTTTTCCCCTTTTTACTGATTTGGTTAGATTCTAAAAATGTGAAGCCTGACAACTTCCAAAACCAGAACTTGATTATTGTAAACTACACTGAACCAGTAAGTTAGGACACACAGATAGCCTTTACTGTTTTTAGAAACCACACTAGTTCTCACCTTCACACTTAATACTTGTCCAATACTCTCAGGCAAATCAATATTTGGCAACATCTCTTTTTCACACTGTGCAGTGAGAGCAGGCAACTACACTTACATGCAAAGTGAATGATTGACGACTGCGCAGCACAGCGTCCAGTTACAGACAGCTACAGCCCTTATAAAAAAAGGGAAGATCATTTACAAAGTAACCTTAGGAAAGTCCACCAGAGGGAGCTACCAAGACATTAAAGACACGAATGAAGGCGGGATGGAAAACAGAACTTTTTCTCTTTCCTATTTTGTGAAGCTAATATTTTTTTTTATACTCTAACGCCAAACATCAAAAACATGAGTAGCATACATAGTCTATGTGCCCAGCCCGGTGGGAAGAAAGCTGGATCCACTTAATGACACACGAAAGGAATGCAGTTTTAGTAAAATAAAAAATGTTCAATTAGAAACTTAGTTAGGTTTTGAATGGGAGGAGGAGAAAGAGGAATGTTCTTAAGACAGCTGTAGTGGAAGAGCTCTCTTATCCAGCAGATCATTAGGCAAAGCACATACAAAACAAAATGCACAGAAATACTGCAACCAACCAACTTTCACAGATTGCAGTTTAGGAAAGTCACGGCTGAAAATACAGAGGAGAAAATAACAAAATAATGTTAATGTTTCATTTTTCCAGTGGGAAACAAACACAAACAAACCGCAACCACACAACCCACTGGGGTTATATATAGAGATATATATATATAGATATATATAGATATAGATAGATAGATAGATATAGATATATATATAGATATAGATATAGCATAGTACAAGTGCTCACCAAAAAACATATTTAATTTTAATTTAATTTTTTGACAAAGAGTTAATGTCCAGAGAGGAGACAAAGTACTTAGCTTTTAAAGCACTAGTGAAAAAAATACGTGCAGATGGTGCTGTCCTAAGAACAGTCAGAGCAGGACTGGGCTAGGAATATACCAAACCAGTAACACCTATATCATGTTTTGTACCAACATCAACTGCTCTTCTAATCTGTTTAAATATGCAAAAAGCACACTCCTTTATGTTTAACTTCTCCAGGCCAAAATGAATATGTTCAATCCTCTGCAGCTATTCTTGTCTTCTCTGCCTATTTTTCCAATCAGAGCTAGTCAATGACTAGGTAAACTATCCCAATATCTTGCCCCTCTATTGCTGCCATAAGCAGATGGCCTGAGGAGAATCTACAGAACAAGCATATATGATACATCCTCAGAATCCTTTCACAGCCTCCTGTCATATTCAAAGCACAGACTGCAGAGACATATTGTTGTGAGATAGTTAGTAACAGACTTTCTTGGGTGAACTTCTCAAAGTATCTTCAGATTCAAGTTGCTCAATACACCGAGCCCTTCAAATTTGAGTTCCAAATTCTAAAATGTAACATTGTAAATTGAGGTGCTGGAGCACTCTCCTATGGGGATAGGCTTAGAATTGGGATTGTTCAGCCTGGAGAAGAGGAGGCATCAAGGAGACTTCATAGCCACCTTCCAGTAGAAGGGGGCCCAAAGGAAAGCTATGGAGGGGCTTTTTATAAAGGTAGTGAGACAACAAGGGGTAATGGATTAAAACTTGAATAATGAAAATTTATATTAGACAGAAGGAAACTCTCCACTATGAGGATGGTGAGATACTGCAAAATGTTGCCTAGGGAAGTCGTGGAAGTCCCATCTATGGAAGCGTTCAAGACTAGGTTGGATGAGGCTTTGAGAAATCTGGTCTAGTGGGAGGTATCCCTGCCCATGCAAGGGGATTTGAACTAGCTGATCTTTAAGGTCCCTTCCAACCCAAACCATTCTATGATTCTATTATTTCCTTGATTAATTGTCACATGGAATTTCCCTTTGTGGAACTAAGTCTGGAGACAATATTCTTTATTATTATTATTTATACATTATTATATATATATTGTATAATATATTTATTACTAATTTATTTTCCATGTAAGTTGATAGAAACTAGTTTGAATATTTAACTTATTTGGCAGGTAAGTTGCAGCATTCATTGAAGCTCCTTTCAGAAGGCAGGCTAAAAAACAGCTACCACTTTCACTGAAAGATGTAATGCAATATCATAAAAAACAAGCTGAAGCAGTGATAATTTGTTACTGGAATTAAATACAAATCTTAACCAACCATACTGTAAATCAACTCAACTGCAATGAAACAAGTTTAACACAAACCACAGCTCTTTTATAATGAATTATCTTGACCCAAGTTTTTTTACAGCAAGGTAAAAGAATTACATCGTACATACCTCTGACTTTTAAAGTATTCCAAGTTAATAAAAAAATCTAAGAGTAATGAACAACTGCACTTAATAGCACAGGTGTCAGACTAGACAGCACAAAAGCTTAGGCACACTCTACAAGCAAACTAGCTGAGGTCATGGAGCAAAATGAAAATTTTATTTCATCCACCTCTAGTGGAAATTCAGTAGTACCTAGGTTTTCCAAAAACTAGTACTAATAATTTTTTTAAAATACATTAAATTTAAGTATATCATAATAGACATAATAAGTAGAAACATGGCATCTTTACTTGTTTTTCCTATTGTGCTGAATGAAGGTAACTCAAATTTCCTCAGAAGATAACTCACCATGATATAAATTACAAATCAATACTGAAGGCAATGGCAATTTTTATGCTACTTTTTCCACTGAGCAGCTTTCTATATGAGGGCCCAAACTCAGAATGTGCAACTTCTGCACATCCAAGCCTTAACTGAGGTCACAAGAAGTCAAAGAACCTAGTCCAGTGATGCTAAGTTTTCATTACAAAGAAAATTCTTTGCCTCTGTTAACAAGCCACCAGTTGAAAGGCTGCACAGGGAAAAATAAGCAAGCACTCCTAAGGATGAGCCTTGTTTCTTTAAGACTCTTTTAAAAAAAGACCTATGGAAGACTTTAAAACTCAATAAATATATAGAGAAGTTACATCATTAATGACTTTTAAATTCAGAAGGCCTCTCTCTTCTCTCAGGAGTGGAAATGACATCCAAAACAGTCAGGGGATTGGGGGAGAGAGAAGACAACCCTAGCTGGATGCTCAGTGGCATCCTCACTTTCATCCATGTCTTCTTGATAAAACACTCTTCCAACACTGACAAACCTGACGTCTACCAACAGGAAACAGAGCTTGCTACTTTGTAAAAGCTGCAAAAGCTTCTATTAGTATTCACAGGATGTAATTGAGTAAAAATGTCCCTCAAAAATGTTTAAAAACAAACAAGCAAAAGAAAAAACCTACTAAATTAAGTTAACATTAAATCATGAAAATTACCTATCACTAAAAAAGTCTTTAAAAAGAAGGAAAGAAAGACACATCCACACCTTTTCAAAGGCAATCTATAAGAACATTTGTAAGACCAAGGCACAGGAGCGTTCTGGGAACTCCCTGCTTCCAAAAAAAAAAAGCTTTTCAGATACAGTATAGTTTTACCTATATAAATGGCCATCATCTTGAAACTCCTCTTTGCCCCATCTTCCTTTAATGTCCTCAATAACATGATTTTTCAGGAACTTTTTAAGCAGTTTAACCGTTTGACTGCGAGTCACTTCTGGGCCAAAGTTTTGGTTAGAGCCAAGCAGCTCATGTAAACAGTCCACGGCCTCCGAGGCTTTGAAGCAACGCTCGTAGCTCTTGAAGCGACACCGATGCTTCCGTAAAGGCATCCCCGCACGAAAAAGCTCTATTATCTCGTTCCACTAGAGAAGAAGAACAAAGCCAACCGTTAGGGGAGCTCTTGTACTAGGAGCATTTTAATTGTACAAAGCAAATTCAGAACGCAGCGTTACGTACTTTTTCGATCATCTGCGTTTATCAGCACAGTGAAACCTAAACCTATTATCTAAACAGTCGAGATTTGAGAACAAACAGGAGATCTAGGAAGCTGAATGATCTAGAGCCCTGTACTACATAAGCTCTACCGATACAGCTTTAACCAGCCTTCAGTAGGGGATGGACGACAGCTCGGCGCTGCTGAGCTCTTCCACCCCCCAGGCCCGTGGGGAACACGGGCCAGCAGCCCCACAGGCCCCGCGTCGGGAGCACACACACACGGACGGCTGGTGGGGACCGAGGGCTCCGCCGTCGGCCAAGCCCGGGCTGCCCGGGACGGGCCCATG